GTGACACTGAATGAGTCCGTCTGACGGGAGTGTCAGTCTAGCATACTTTGTTCGCAGACGACCACTGGCGGCGAGTAAAGCAGCCCAGCATGCCTAGTCAGCAGGCGATCGTTGTCGGCGAGTCATACCTAGTCCGGCATGATAGTCCGCAGGCGTGCGACGGTGGTGCATACTTAATTTACAAGCCACCGGCGGAAGCGAGTAATGCTTCGATCATCATTTGGTGCATAGGCGAACGCCGGCACCGTCACACTTAGTCCAGTATATTTAGAACATAGGCCACAGGCGGTGGTGAGTCCTCCTTATATAACCATACACAGAGCCCGCAAGAGTCCACCGGCACGCGCAGCTGGCTCCCGAATTCTGGAGCGTAGCTGCACACGTGGACTTACGACAGCACGGGGTGGCTCAGAGCTTGAGTTCCGTGTTTACGAATAAATCCGAAAACAAAAATTCCGAAAAAACACTCACCGGTAAAATTTCCTTGAATTCTGATTTATGCGAAACATTTCCAGATCACGACGGAAGAAAAAATACGGTATTTTATATACAAATTTTACGACAGCATAGAGTAAGCGGTCCTAAGGAAAGGCCACTTTGGTTGTATTTTTTTTTTTTATAACAAAACTACTAAATTTCGACTAAAACATAATTCGAACAAAGTAAAATTGTAGTCCGAATTGCCAAGACTTTGGAATCTAACGAAAATAAAATCCGATAAACCCTCAATTTCGAGCTAGAAATAAGCTCCGAAAAATACCCTTCGAATTCAACCAGAAATAAACACCGAAAACCCGGAATCCCACTCATAACGTGCCAAGGGAGAGCGTAGCTGAGGTATGACATCACAATTTATGACAGCAGTCAATGTAGAGTGAAAAAGGCGCGCTAAACTTCCTCACTCGGTGATTACTGCAATTACTATAGGGGGTTTTTTTGCAATTCAAGAGCTTTCAGAATTCAAACCCCTACACGCACTCACGAAAAAGTGGAACCCATAAAAAAACTTCCGATTAAAGGGATACGGAATCGAAACTTGAAATATAGAGAAAACATCAAGAAATGAGTTCAATATGATCAGCTAAGCCTGTAATGAATAATCGCACGGTCGTATTTTGAGCAGATGGCTATATTTTATGCTCTAAATGCCGCGATTTTGGCGAGCGCTTCAAAATCAGCCATGGAGGAGCGCGATGCATCTCGGGAGATCCGGCAGACGTCTTGACGTCATCATGCCTCGGACGACCAAGCGTACCTTAGTGACGAGTTTTGCCACTTGGAGGCGTCAACGCGTTACAATCTCGCTTTGTCGAAGTACCCAAGGGCTGTAGATATCGCGGGGCCAGCACGCGCACCAAACCTGAGAACAACCGAAGCACGCGTTTGCACGTCGCGCGAGAGCTGAAACCAAGGTGGCTCACTTCGTTTTGGCTCTTTCCACCAAGACGCCTCGGTATTGCGTTCAGGCCTAGGCAATCTATACCAGTGAGCGGACATACCGCTGCGGCGCTGCTTTCAGAGGCATGTTGTCGTCACGACATTCCATTGAAGCTTCATAACCAACTACCAGGTGGTTTTTGATTATCGTTTAATTCACTTTAAAATATGTTTTCTTGCGTTTTCTAGCACAATATTTATGTTTCTGTGGTTGTGCTGCTACCTGCGTCGTGTTGAAACAAAGAAATGAGCTCCAGAATTTGGTTTCCGTACCCATTTAAAGCGTGCTCGTGATACACTCGACTCCTGGATAAATTCGAACTTGTCTCGATCATTCTGGTGAACCCGGAAAACTCAAGCGTAGGTCGAGTTAACAGCGCATTTGAGACCATCCGAAGCTCCCCGCAAGCAGCATCGTAAATTATGGGCAACCTCGAGTCAGAGTTTATTGACACGTGCCCCATTGTTTCCCCGCCCCATTGTCGATAAGAGATTTATCGACATTTTTCTGATTTGGACATATTGTCACGAAGGACAAGTGATGAGACGATAATAACTGAACTAAACGTTTAATGGGGCGAACTTGTGCCCAGAAAGAAAACAAAGAACAGAAGAAAGCAGAGCGTCCCCATGCCTCTGCTCGTGCGGGCAAGCGCGTGCAATTGCAACCTTGCCAAAGCTTTGTTAAAGGGTCGATGAAGGCAATTTCTGACATCTTTTTGGCAATTGAACTGTGTTCCAGGCACGTCTCAGGCCACGTTGCCCAAACTCCAGCCGAAACCCGCGCTTCTGTGCCGCGCAAATCAATTAAACAGACGCGGTAATAATCGCACCGGGATCGAATGGGGCGACGCGCCGAGAGTTGCGGGAGAAGCCAGGAGAAGCGGAGCTCACGTGACCGATGCGGGGCCAAGATGCGCGACGTCACAAGAGACGCGTCAGCGATTGGTCGAAACGAGAGACACGCCCTCGGTCACGATTTCGTTGGCGATTTTTAGAAATACTGTTCTAATTTCCGCTTGAATAACCACGAAAAGTATAAATGAGACCGGAAATTATTAGTAAACCTAAATAAAGCAGCATAATTGTTTTTTTCTTTGCTATGCTGGACGCGAAACGGGCAAAGAGCAACTATAAGCAAACTTAAAGGGGCCCTGCAAGCACTTTTTACTTTTTTTTAATTGGCACCGAACATGAGCGCACTGACCGTAGTAACTGAATGAAACTTTTCTTTTCTGGAATTTCGCTTTATATTAAAAATTATAGGCAAATTAAAATTACAAAAACAAGCAAAAAATAACTTCCCGCATGACGTCCTTGGTTGCTTGAGTGGCCGCGAACTAGAGGAGGGATAGTGAGCACAGCGAGCGCTCACGGCCGCCGCACTCCGTGTCGACGGCGCGAGAGGGCGCCACTAAAGCGTGTTCTGGATAGGTTGTATGCAGCGGGCAGCTAGAGCGGCTCTCATTGCATTTGCTGCGCGATTAAACACACATTCGGCATGACACTTCATTGGCCACAAACGACAACAAACACGGGGTAAAGATCGGTTCAGAATGGGAGCCACTTCGCGCTGCCATACCGCGAAACGGCCAAACCACAAGACAAAGCTGCTCGCTGAAGGCCTTCGGAACGCTCGGAGCCAGTCGGATCCTCCAGTCCGTAAACGACCGCAGCGGCGCCGCGTACATCCGGGACCTTTCCGTGTCGGCGCCTGATCCCACTACCCCTTTCTAATATGCGCCGCCTTTTCCACCGCTTGGTGGTGGGTATGTCGACGGGCCATTTCTTGTTTCCGTACTTTATAAACTGCATTTGTTTCTTTTCTGACCTAAAATACTGAACGAAAACTACTTTTATGAATAATTGAAGCGGTTCGCGCCACTTATATTTTGTGTTTCGACTAAAAAAAACCTTTTAGCGGTTCTTACCAGTAGTAAGCCCAGGACCTAAAACGTCACATTTCGCGCGCTTTCGGTACCGCGGGTCGCCCTCGTCGGCGGAGGAGGTTTCCGCGTCGTCCGGTTAAAATATGATGCAGTGATATTTAGTTACTCTCTCCGTGCCCGCTGGCTTGCCCGAACCCCAAGAGACGTGGAAACCGCAAAAAAGGTAGACGCTTAAATATGAATGCAGGGCCCCTTTAATAAAAAAAAAAAAAAAAAAAAAAAAAGAACACGGTATTGGAAGGATTTTGCAAAATGGTAATCATGCCACATTTGTGCGCTGTAGATGGCTGTTCTAACGGCCGACTGAAGACCAGCATTCGTTCGGGCGACGCTAGTTTTCACGTGTGTGTTGCTGTTCGTGTTCTTTGACGACGAAAAGAGGACGTCCGACTTTGGTGAAAACCAAAAATGGCGCTGTTTATTTTCTCCTTTTTGTGGAGCGTCCCCGCGGAGGAACCGGTTCCCGGAACGGCCGGATAGCTGCCGCTTTCCCCCCGGCATCTCCCCCGCGTCCCTGTTCGGAGCCTGCGGGCCGCTCGTTGCCAGCTGGGCGGTCTCCGTCGGGTGATGGCGGAGGCCGCCGCAGACGTACTCCCGTTCCGTTTTTGTTGGGTCACTGAACGGAAGCTCGAACTCGCTCGCGACAGCGGCATTGCCGTCCATGTTGACAGATTCCACAAAACGACCGCGCCACCGCGCTGCTAGAACCCACCGCGATAACCCGAGTCTTGATCTCTTAAATACTACCGATACTGACTATTCACAGTTGACGTCACTCCCTACGTCACCTCCGTTTTCGGAGGCCCAGAAACGAGAATGGAGATTGTTCACTTTCGGTTTCTTTACTTCTTTCTTAGGCACAGAAATACGCGTCACAAATGTCTACAAAAATTGGGCAGCATGCTATGTTCCCAAGAAGCATAAAAACACCATTTGAAAAAATTAAATAAAATTGTCTTCATTGTCCCTTTAAGGCGCACTCTGCAGGTGCTCGCACGCATGGACACCAGTCGGGCGCCGTGCTTACAATATTCTATTTGACAGATACATGCTAACCTTTTGCCACATGTTTTAAACTTTTCCTAAGTATGTCCCCCTACCCCAATGAGGCCATTGCGCCACCCTTTTGAAAATAAAGTTAATCATCATCATCATATTGGTGTATAGCTCAAGAGAGCGCAACACGAGAGCGCCGACGGGAGGGCACGAGACACTTGAGCGCCGCGACAGGGGCGCGTGTCACCAGACCGCATGTGCGCGCTCTGGAAAGTTTCGAGTGTGCTATTCGCGTTTATAGAGCTACCCAAGGGGTCACTGCTCAATCAGAAAGGCAGCGTTTAAGGGGTTGAGCTCTGCAAGTTTATCGGAATTCTTGGGACAGTCCTTAATGCGAAATCGGGCCAGTGTATTTTTGTGTCTTTTTCTTTAATCGTTTCCCTCTCCTTCCCCTTTCCCTCTTGCGACTTTCTGTCCGGCTCACTCCTTTTCGGCATCGTGACGACTCGTCCCGCCACTGCAAACGTTTGGCAACAGCTGCCTTATAAAATGTTATCTAGAGAGAGAGGAGATACACTCCCTCCATCGGAATCTACGTAGCAGACGGCTAGAGGGGGATATCCGCCACCCAACGCACTCACAAAGGTGTCATTTAATGAAGTACCGAGCTCAGTATAAAACAAAAAAACACGAATCTCATAATACATATGACGTAGGCAGCGCAATGTTCCATGCGAGACTTGTTGCCCGCAAAAGTAGCAGTCCGTTGAATTGGTGCATGCCGTAGATTTTTGACCAGTTTAATATAGATTTAAATATTTACATCGTAATTAGGCAGTTGCGGCATTCCTCGCCCTCACTAGGGAAAGTGCAGAGTTTAAAAAATCTAAATTAGAGCGGAGTTTTATGCTTATATACAATATACATTAAGAGAGACGCTGCGCCTGCGTTTGGATGCGGGCTTGCTGTGGCGGCCTGTCGTAAAGAGAAGTTCCATCTTTTATATTACAGTCGTAGCTGCAGTGAGACGATCAGTGTTAGTTACAGTGCGTACAGATGAACTTTAGGTTTCCTGCAGGTAAATACACCGAAAGGGGTGTGTCGCGTACTCGGGACGCAATTATTATTATTTTTTTTTTTTGAGGTTGAGGAGAAAGAGTTGTTGCATCCGTTTTATATTTAATGGGATCAGGTAAGCGGTTTGTTCCAGGCAGTAGAACATTTTCTGCTCCTCTCGATATTAAATTATTAATCTATCGAAAAAAAACAACAGTACGGCTCAACTTGGAGAAAACAGTGAAGTGCATCGTCATTAACAAACCCTTCCGCTTCGAGCACGTTAGCGGTACTCAAATTCATTTTTCCCAAACCAAGATTACCGCCTTGTTTTGGCATCTGGAGGCTCGCCTCGTCCAAATGTTTACTTGTATCGACTTGATGAATTTTTCTTTTCGCTTTGTCTTTGGGATGAATGACACCGAGCGTGTAAGTCTTGCTGAAGGGCCATTCCAGCTTTGAATCGTTGACGCCTGGATGAATACGCATATACAGCCCTAATGTCATCTGCCCCTCCTCTTTTCTCAGCCTGATAAAGATGCCCACATTATAGCCAAATACATACTGTAAGGGGCTGAAAGCGTTATTCGGTGCGTCTAATGCACTCTTTTTTAAGTCTTCCCAGCCTTGAAAGTACCAGTGAAATTTCATGGGTCCGCAATATCTAAGTACGTACTCGGATAGACCATTCATGAGTTCTTCGCTTTGTGCACGTAATTCCTGAGCCACGTGTGTCTTCATTGTGTCTTCAATGGCAGCTTTTAGTTCTTTGTTTGCTGCAGCAAAACTTTTAGTTTCGATTCGGTCCAACTGCTCGGAAAGTCTCGACGATTGAGATTCCAACTGCTCTTTGGTGTTTCTGGCTGCTTCCCTCCCATCTTCCCGGGACTGTTCCAGAGAGCTGTTCAGACCGGAGAGATGGTCAGAGATCTTGAGCGTTGCGTCCTTCAGTTCCTTGCTTGTGTTGTTGTCCAATGTTCGGACTTCCTCAAGCCACTGGTTCAGGCTGGTTTGAAGAAAAGAGAGATTTTCGGATATCTTGAACATCTCTCTTTTCAGTTCACTGCTTGTAATTTCTAAATGATCATAATTCACGTTTATATAATACGGAATGGGCACGGGTGTAGTGGACGCAGAACTGCAGCCGCCTTTACAGTGACCCACGAGCTCAGTCCTTAGCACTGGTGATTGGCACCTGGGGCAAGGCACGACGTGAAACGAGCACTGCTTGTAGTGATCCACGAGTCTGGAAGCTTGACCGATGAAGTCGCAACCATTGGGTGCATTGACGCAGGCTACCTGTGAAAAAAAGAGAGTTGAAGACATATGTAATTATAACCTGAAAAAAAGAAAGGACGGAACAAGGAGCCAATATCCAAATTGGAGACCGGAGGGAAGCTGATAAAGTTTGGGGACTTGTTCACATTGATTGCTGAAAACCATGAGGAAAATATAAGAAAAAATATATATATCTTATGTGTTGTAAAAAAAATAGGGTAAATACTTGGCATGCAATGTTTCTTGTATGGAATAAAAGTGGGCTATAAAAGTGTTGCGTGTTTTTGGACAAATCCGATAAAGTCCTGAAACAAAAACAAAACAAAACACTCCACGGTAAAAGTTTTTTGAATTCGAATATATCCTAAAAATTCCAAAGTTAAAGGTCACGGAAGCCAAAAAAAAAAAGTTCACTTTTTTAAGAGTAAGTTTGGTCAAAGCAGAGGTTCAGCGGTCATCACGAGAGGCCTTCTCAGATTCCTTCAAAATCTTGTAGTGTCGACAAAAGAACGTTCGTCGCCTATCCCGTGAGGGTTCCGTCAGGACAAAGGGGCGTTGTAATTCTTTGTCACAAAATAAACCACTGTTTTGTTTTACATATTGAACTTGGAGGAAGGACGGGTTGTCATTTCATAACTGTGAATGCTATCGACTATTAAGGCTCGTTCCCACAGTTGCGTTGGAGTGCGACTGCATCCAGTTACGTCTTGTTAAGACTGTTTACGTCGAGCTGTTCCTATAGCGACCCTTGCGACGAGCCATTGGAGAGGCGCTGGGCGGCACGACGCGAAGCAGTGCAACGCAGTCGACGCAAATGTGTGAACGAGATTTACATGTCATAAGAGGGACAGTTGAGGCTTCTATCTCACCACTCCGCTCCGCGCAACTCCAGGGAGAAGAGGTAGAATTGAATGAAAAGAAAAATAGCCCTCTACCGGCCACATGAAGGAGCTCATTGATTTTAATGTGCCTTTTTCAAGTTTTGTCGTGGGACAGTTACTAGTACTACTAATGCCAAAAGCGCCAATTCTACATGGTGCACTTGGTTACTTATAAATCTAGGGCTGAGTTGTACCCGCGATTAATATATATCTTTATTTTTTTAATTTTGAAAGTTTGGACACATAGCAACACTATACTCCTTACTTCGGAGAATTGAGAATCAAACAAAAATAGACTTCGATATACTTTTACTTTCAGGTTTGTCATGAGACAGTTACCCTAATATCCCGAGAGTTGCCCTACTTACGACAGGTAACCCACCCCTATTTTTGGCTTCATTCGCTATTTTCTTTTAAACACCGAAAGATAGCCCACTCCTAGAAATCGCTGTGTTCGGATCAATGATGGCCTTGTTGTAAATGCGTCTAGTTAGCTATAGCGGGATTTAAGCGAATAGTGCTGACTGGGAAGTACAGTCATATTTGCTTCATTGCCCCTTGCCGGCATAACAAGTGACAAAAACACATGATGTAAAAAAAAGCAATTTTTAAACTTTTCTTAAACACGCACCGAAAGTTTGCCCACTACTAATTTTCACCCAATTTTTTCTTGGTTTTAGGTGGGCTATCCCCCAAGAGTTTACGGTAGTACTACTAATGGCAAGGGTGCCAATGTCACGTGGTACACGTTCTTCCTTATAAGTCTAGGGAGAACTTATATTTTTATTTTCAATTTTGAACATTAGAAAATATAGCAAAAATTAACTCCCTATTTCGGAGAATTGGGAATCTAGCAAAAATAAACTCCGTTAAAGTCCAACTATTGGGCACTAAATAAATTCCAAAAAACACCCCCAGAATTTCGCGAGAAATAAACTCCGAAAACACGCAATCCTAGCCATAAAAAAAGACAAAAATATTCAAGATTGAAGTACCTTGTAAAGTTTCGATACTATATCTATAATTGCTGCAACTTTTGGTTTGGGTTTACTTACCGTACGCTTCAGCATATAACCTCCTGAGATGTCAAGGTGAACAATGTTATCATCGTCAAAGGGTTCTTCATCCAGTGGACAAGTACTACCTCGCCTCTGGGACTCCTCGTGACATTCCAAGCAGAGCGTGTGCTCACAGGGCAATCTGAGAACATTTCTCGACACCAGGCCACACAGGGAGCATGCATTGTGTGCAGCGGAGGACTCTTCGAAGTACAGGGGCCTCCAATCCAGAGTGTCCGAGAATCCGGATATGAAGATGGGCCTCATCTTCAAAAGGTCAAGATATCCAGTCACAGTTGTTTTTTGCCCGACGACTGGAAGTAACCTGGAAAATGAAGGGACCTTGACCTTAGAACCAATAGGGCCTACTGCGCGGGGAAATGGTGGGAACGCCCCCGACATGCAGCTCGTGCATGGACCTCCAACATGGGGTCAGTATAGATAACCTTAATGGGGCTCCAAGGGCCTTGAGACAACACGGAAGAAGTGCATGAAGAACGGGTGACCTCCATGGTGGAATGGGTCTTTACCCCACCTTCCAGATAAACAAGGCAACACTGTACGCACGGTTGTGTATTTTATTCTCGAATCTGGCTTAGAAATGCACATATCCATCCCCGCACCCCCATATCGGGAAACTAGGGCTGCCATGAACTCCTTCCCCTACCTCCATCCCCCTAAGAAAAAACGTTTTTAGTACTACTACTTGATAATATTCTGAGAGAGTGAAAATGGTGTAATACAATATGTTGTAATTACCGGAACCGCACACAGCACAACTTTATTGTCGACTATATTATAGGTGTTTGATACAAAATATATTTTGGCATAGTGTAAGGAAGCTAAGGTTTGAACATGATATATGGCCGAAAACAATCGGTTGCAAAATTATATTTTAAATCTCAGGCCGGCCTATCGTTGTAATTTCTTCTTGCTCCCATAACGACGCATGCAGCTCCCAAAGAATATCGCACACTGTATTGAGAGGCACGACAGGTAACCTGCTGCTTGATAAAAGGGCTTCACTGCCCTATCATGACTGTATAAGAATTCACGGGCGGCCATAGCTGTGTGCGCGACTGCTGAGCGCGTGTTGATGGCTATAGCTTCCAGGGTTCTTTTGCAACGTGCATTCCACACCGTCAAAATGGCCGGTCTTAGCAGCGTATTAATGGGGGCTCGTTCTGAGCATGCGCTCTAGACACCACCCAAAAATACTGCGCCCAGTGAATACTCCTTATACACATAGCTTTTGCAGTTCAGCGACGCATCGAACAGACACTGCGAAAGTACAAACAAACATAATGGTCAATGTGTTGTGCGCGAGCGAGGGTTGTGCGGCGACCTGACTGCGAACGCGCGGGGATGGATGATGCTGGTGATCGCGTGACGGATGGAGTGCTGCCGGGCCAGCAAAAAGAAAGCGAAGAAAGTGGCGGTGACGACAGCGGTGTGGCCTGGAGCTTTAGAAGAGACAAGGAGAAGAAGAAGAAGACGAAGTGAGGTGTGTGACGACGGAGCTCGGAAAAAAAGCCGGTGGCGGTGTGCGAGGTTGACGGCCGTGGTTCCCGGGCTTGAAGCAAAATTCGTCGGGCGCCCAGACCGGGAGTTCCAGGTTTCCTGCAAACCCCCCTGCGCCATCCCACTAGCCTGCCCCTATACCGAGACGGATGGAGAACGCACCAAGGCATCGCTGGCGTCCAGTCCAGGACGGCGTTCGTTCCCGCACGTCAGCATCGAGCTCCCTCATCAGAAGGCGCCTTCACCTCACAAGGACTGATCAGCGCGGAACCTCATCTCCAGCAACCACTCCCCGGTGATCACTCTTTGGGAACTTCTACAGCGTATGTATTGTGTGCCTTCATCGCATCCTTTCATTTTTTTTATTTCATTATAGTGCGTTGTTCGTTGTGAAAAAAATGACTTCGCCTTTTCTAACAATTGGAACCAGTTCTTAGTGGTGAAACACTCGAAGACTAGAACCATGAAAACAACAGTTATCATCCCCATTTTTAGTCTCGTGCCTCATAATATTTAGGTCACTCATTATCATATCTTCCATCAGTAATTATTTGAATAGGTCATGGAGTGGACACTGATTTATAGAAAAGCCGAATTTTTTGTTTTCCCCCATACTTTTTTTTGTGGGTTCTCACAAATGTGTTTTCTGCCTGAAAATTATTTTTCGCCTATTTTTGAGCAGAGGTATTTACGCCATCTTTCTCACTTGGTTTCTGTATTTCTTAGTGTTGTGACTTTGTTCTACCCCAGTTTCAGGGTTTAATATCATGTTCGTAATTATTGTTACTGTTTTTACTCCCGATCACTTTTTAGTACGTCATTTTTTCGCCTTTAGCGTGTCCGACTAAGAGCTACTGTATCGTCCAGATAGTATCCCCCTTCAATGGGTTATCCTTTTTCGTGCGAGGAGATCGTTATGTGTTTGTTTTTAGCCTCACATTGTTAGGCAAAAGAGAAAACTGTTACCGATGCTATTTGAAAACTAAAGGTAGGTCGTTTGCCTTTTTCTTACCTTCTTTTTCTTTCTGAAACTGACTGATATCTGGTAGATCAAAATGTTTTAAGGCACTAAATTCTGGAAAACCTTGACGGCTGTCTGTGTAATGAATACCTACACTGCTAGCAAGTCCCGTGTATTTGGTGAATATTTGGGGTGAAAAACATGCTATTTACACAAATTACCATAAATTTACACGTTGAGTAACGGATAATTCGTTCAAAAATCATGCGAGGTTGTAAAAAACGTGTTTTCGTTCGGTCATACACGCATAACCGTGTAGCCGACCTCGAAAACACGCACCACCGCCGGCGACGACCGCAGCATTGCCGGCTACCGAAGCACCGGAACGCTTGGGGACACACCTAGAAAGGACCGTGGAGTCAAATTCCGCGGAAAGGAACATGTCTCGGAGACAGATAAGCACCAAAAGCAATTACGCCATGTCGCGAGACGGGGCGAACCCCGCGCTTACCGTGCGTGCTGGCTGCCATTGTTTGTGGTCGACAATGGCAATGCGGCTTCCCTTATGTCGCCCTTGTTTGTGTTTATATTAGGGGTCTTGATAATTGTTTATCACACACCAAAAATAAAGTTAGGCGTATAATTACTCGTTCTAAACAGTTACAATGGCTATAAAAAGCGTGCCATTGATCTGAACACGCGACATTGCAGTTGGTTTCGTTTTGGCTTCAACCCTTCCAACTGCAAGCGAAGGTGCCGCCGCTTCCCATGCATCCTCCTCAGAATTTACGGCGCTCCGTGGTGTCCAGTGTTGCTGCATCTGTATTTCATCTTTAAGTTAGAGCTGACAGAGAAAATTTGGCCACGGCGTAACGCCGATGTAAGCTGGAAGCTAGAACCGGTTTGCTTTCGTTGTTTTTTATTTGGTCGGAGAAAATCTGGCAACAACGCACGTTTAACATGGCGCCGGTATTGCCGGTATTCTTTTGGTTGGACAAGAAGGTTGGAAGGTGCTCGGTTTGCGAGCACATGTAGCGAAGACGTGACCGGAGACGTGCCCCTGTAATGTTCCCGGACGACGGAAAGCATCATTCGCAATCGTCGTGTGTGCTTGGAAAGTGAAGGGTGTCACAGGGTCCACGAGTGCGCAACCACAAGCCAAGGGTCACGACAGCGCTGCTTTTACTTCGGCGATCTCGTTCTGTTTGGTGCAACGCGGCGATGCGACAAAGAGCTGAAGTGTCCGTGGTGTGTGGTGCGGTGCTTGGAGGTAAAAGCCACACTAACACGGAGCGCGAATTGGTTGCTGTGGGTTTAGTCCGTCGTAATCAGCTGATCCGGTCCAGCTGGTCCGGGAGGACGCAGCAAGCGTTTTTAAAAGTAAATCTTCCCTCGTTCTGTTTCAAAATGTGGAAGTATACCGACGCATACCGTGAGTAAAAAGCTGTGGGCGTTTTCAACAAAATTACGTCGTTTAAATTGAACAATGGACTCCGGATTGTTGTCCTAGATCTGCCGTTTTTATGCTTCGTGTTGGACTGCGTTTGCACAGCGACGCACACAGCTCGAGTAGATGACTCGGTCCTGCAAACGACCGGTAACAGAATTTCAGGGAAACTTAAGTCACCACTGATATTTTCCTTTAAATCTCGTGCGAGTTTGTTGCGCTCATTATGCGGTGTGAATAAATTGGGGCAAGATTTCCTACCTGCCCACAGATGCATGAACTGAGACCATTTTTTGCGTGGTGAACATAGTGCTTTTTCTTTGTTTTGGAAAGGCGCTGGTGCATTTACTATGGTACAATCACTTGAGAGTTGAGAAATTGGAGAGAGCGAGCAAGCTTTCCCAACTTTGTCTGTTTTCTATGGCACTGCCCTGTTTCAGTTTCAGTAGGCATATCTAAAAGCGGGTACAAACTGCTCTAAAGCAGGTAAAAAACAGAAGAAGCTTAGGACGGTGCGGACTCCGTGTTTCGCGTTTTTCGTAAGGTGACTGGGTAAATGCTTTTGCAAGGTATGCGGAGTATGCAAGCGATTTTGTTATGCCTGTCGTTTGCGTCTCTCCAGTAAAACGAATAAGATGATCTACAAAGGCGCAATCACAAGCCAAGATTTACGATAGCAGTGCGTTTGCTTCGGTGGTCCGTGTAGTTGTATTTTACTCTGCTCTCTGCAACACCGTGCCATGACGAAGAGCTGGGACGGTCACGGTTAGTGCTGGCCTCCCCGTTGACAGAAACCCGCATCGCCCGCGTCGGCACCGAGTGCGCTTGGGCTGTTGATGCTCACAAGCCACGAATGCTTTCATCCGTGGCTTGTTGCCAGCTGATCCTGCTGCTAAACGGTGAGGAAGCGGCGATAGTGACCTCTGAAGTGAATGTAGATCCCCGTTCATTCAGTTATTCGGTGTCAAAGTGTGGAAGATGTCCAACGTGTACTGAGGGCGGGAACTACGAGCGTTTTGCCTTGCTTTTATAACCGGAACCAGAGCAACGAGATAACTGCCTTGCGTACCTAAAAATGACGGAAGCAAAACGTTTCAACAGGTCGAATACGTCACCGGGGATGTAGGCGAGACGGTGTACACTGTTAAAACGCTTGCAGTATCCACGAGTGGTACCAGGAAAGCGACGTCAGCAGAGAAGGAGCTCGCCATGCAGCATAATGCAGTGCTACGGGCCCGTGTATATTCAAAGTTCGGAATGGTAACAGCGTGGCAGTATAAAAAACAAAATGACGCATTAGCGCCCCGCACTAGTGATCACGAATAACACCGGCCACGAACTCCCGAGCCCCACCGCTCCACTCAACACCGACACGACAGACGACAACAAACTGCAT